TTATGTCTGGGGCAGATCTGTGTGGGAGAGCTTCCCTTTCTGCCAGGAGGCAGCTGACCTGGAATGATATTGACATAGAATCCTGGTCCCAGGACGGTTTCCTGGACCTCCCCCAAGGGTAGGGGGGTTCTTCTACCAGAAATGAAGCCACCAAGGGGCTGGGCTGGGCCCCGGGAGTGACAGGCTTTGTTGGCCTCTGCTCGTGGCTGAAGGTTTTTGCTCCACTGAACAGGGGGCTTGGGACAAGAGGTTGGGCTCTTTTTCCACAGCAAAAACGACCCCTTCAGCCCCCACACCACTGACTGGGTCCCTCTCCTTCCCTCATCCTTCCCCACTCCCTCCCTGGAGGAGCACCCTGCGAGGATGCACAGAGAGGGGGCGGTTAGTGTGTGCAAATTCTCACCTTGTCTGGGCCCCCTGCCAGGTGGAATGAAACCTGCCACCTCAGACCGACATGCCAGCCCACACCTGGCTCCCAACAATTTGTTAAAACTGAACTGATTTCTTTCTTCTTACCCACTTTAATGGAGGCTGCCCCTTCCTCCGAGCGCTGCCCAATAGCCCCTCCTTGGAGGGGCCTGCCCCCTTGGAATTCAGGCTACTTGGTTGCCCTGTGAGCTCAGCTCCCTGGTGAGTTCAGGAAAAGTGATGACTTTGTAGTGCATGCAGTCTTTTCTTATTGTGAAGTGTGAGAGCAAGGCTGTGAGTACTTCTTGCTGTCCTTAAGTCTTTCCTCTGCCCTTTCTCACCACCCATTCTCAACCTAATGCTACACATTTTAGATTGCTTTTATGGCAACACTCCACTTCCAGGCACCCATTTTTTTTCCTGCCCTTTGTTCTTATTGCTGCAGAACAAGTCACCACACTGAGTGCCTTAAAACAAAAAGTATTATTTCTCATGGTTCCATGGGTTGACTGGTCTCACTTAGGGCCTCACATGGGATTGAAGCCAGATGTCTCCTGGGGCTGAAGTCATCTGAAGGTTTGGCAGGCCTGGGCATCCAGGAGGCTCACTCACGCAGCTGGAGGATGATTAACAGATCCCAGCATTTCTCTGGCCTAGTCTTAGAAGTTATAGCTGGGTGTGGTGGCTCACACCTGGAATCCCAACATTTGGGAGGCCAAGGTGAGAGGATCATTTGAGCTCAGGAGTTTGAGACCAGCCTGGGCAACATAGGAAGATCCCACCTTTATAAAAAATTTAAAAATTATCCAGGCGTGGTGCCTACTTGGGGGAGCTGAGGCAGAAGGATTGCTTGAGCCTAGGAGGTCAAGGCTATAGTGAGCTATGATTGCACCACTGCATTCCAGCTTGGGCGACAGAGCAAGACACTGTATCAAGCAACGTGACATGGTGACATTTTTTCCATATTTGATTGGTCATACTGAGCCATTCCAGATTCAACATGGGTGAGAACTATGCAGGGCATGAGTACTGGGAGTCATGGTTCACTGGGGGCTGTCTTCGGAGACTAACATCCTGCCTAGCACTACATTCCAAAAGGGACCTTTTACATTTAGATCTTAAATCTACTTAATTATAAAGTTAACAAAAGAAAAGGGAGAATATTTTCGTAGCAGGGTGGGGAGAGAGCTTATCAAATAAATTTTCAAATGCACAAAATTATAAGGCAGAGGGAAAAAAGATAAATCTTATTATACCAAAATATAAGATATCTGCCCACAGACATCATGGACGTGAGGGAGTAAGTTAGTATACAGATGGCAGAATGGGAGGAGATATTTGCAATACCAAAACTGATAAGCAATTAATGTCTAGATTTTATATAAACACCCACAAACCAACTAAAAAAGAACTGTAAATTCTTAAAAATTGGCAAAGGATATTAAAAAGGAATTCACAAATAGTAAGCCCCGAATGGTAACCAGCATATGAAGAGGGTCTCAAAATCATTAGTCATCAGAAAACAATGTAGAGTAAAACAATTGAGAGCAGCAGGAGGCAGACAGGAGCGGGTCCCCAGTGAAGCCCCACCTTCAATCCAAAAGCAGCCTGGAGTGCAGGTTAGGAATGAAACCCTCAACCCAGGGTGGGAACTTCTGTTCCTGCTTGCCCATCCTTTCCTGATTGGCTCTTTCTGAATAATGCTTTTTAATCAATCAAATGTTGCCTTTTCTACTACTACCTACAGCCCGCCCCCTGCCCCATCCTGTGCCTATGAAAACCCCTAGTCTCAGCCACACTGAGAGAGATGATCCGACCTTCTCATTCCCTCTCCACCAAGAGCTGTTTCATTACTCAATAAAATTCTCCATCCTCATTACCCTTCAATCGTCAGCATGACCTCATTCTTCTTGAATGCAGGACAACAGCTTGGGAGCCACCAACCGTGGGTACCCAGAAAGGCTGTAACACTGGCCCTCTGCCCTCAGTGGTGTAGGGCAGCTGCCCCACACAGTGGAAGCAGCAGGGCCAAGCTGGTCCTGGAGCCACGGGCTAGAGCAGAGAAAGGGGCCGACTGAGCTGCTAATATACCGCCATCCGTCAGGCTGCAGATGGTGGAACTAAAAGAACTAATTAGCACACTGTAACACCCCTCTCTGGACTTTGGGCACCCCTGCCTGGGCGCTACCGCATTCTCCTCGGGGTGACACACCTGGTCTGGCCTGGGCCCCACGCGGAGCCTGTTCCTGTGTCATGGCTTAATGCAGCTGGCTGGGCCCTGCATTTGCTCACTCACATGCTCCCTCCTGCCAGGGGCTGAGCATGCAGTCACGGTGGCACTCCCTGCTGCAAGCCCGGCAAAGGGGTCAAGAAGAATCCTGAATCACAGTGAGCTCTCATTTAAAAGCTATTAGCCGGACAAAAAATTAAAAGTTGGCTAATGTGAAGTGTGAGTATGTACGTGTAAGGTGCATATGGAAATAGCACCCCCTCACACCGTACAGACGAGAATGAGGACTGGCATCCCCGTTCCGACATCATCTAGAACTATTTTGAGATACACACCCAAGGTGGGAGTTGATGGATTTATAGGGTATGAATATACTTAAGTTACCCAAGAAACTGCCCACAGTCCAGGAGCTATTGGAGATGTTCATGGCAGCAGCATTGTTGTTTTACTCTGTGTGTGTATGTGTGTGTGTGTCCACATGCTTATGGGCTTGGGAGGTGGTGGTGGCAGCAGACAGTTGAAGGGAACCTGAGGGTCCATCACCAAAAGAACAAGAAGCCACGGCAGTATCTCATTACAAAATACTAGGCCACAGTTAAAAGCTACAGATTGAATATACATATAACAACATAGGTAGATCTTAATTTTCCACTAAATACTCTGTTTTGTAAGAAACAGACTGAGAAATGTAATATATTTACATAATACCATTTCCATAAATTTAAAAATACATATAGACGAAACAACACCACACATTTTGCAAGAACATGTGCAAACAAAAATACACATTAACACATTAGAGAGGCAGCTATGGGCGGTTGCGGGGGGAGAATAAAAATGGATTACAAGAATAAAAGTTAATAGAAAAAATGTGAAATGTGAGAGGACATTTCTAGATTCTCCAAAGAAAGGGTTTCTGAACTGGTACATACACACATCAGTTTTCCAACCTGACTCTAAGACTCATAAAGCTAAAATAATCAAGACAAGGTGGTATTCTGTCATGATGGACAAGCAGACCAATGGAACAGAAGAAAGGGCTCAGAAGTAAACCCACACATATACAGTCAATTGATTTTTTTAAAAGGGGCAAAGACAATTCAGTGGAGAAAGGAATAATTGAATATCCATATGCAAAACTCAATCTGGATCTGTAACTTGAAGCATACAAAAATATTTACTCAAAGTGGATCACAGACTACATGTAAAACCAAAAGCTATAAAACATAGGAGAAAACGTTTGTGATATTGGGTTAGGCCAAGATCTCTATGCGTACGACATCAAAATAGCAATCCTTAAAAGAAACATTTGATAAGTTGGATTTCATCACAATTAAGAAGGTTTGCTCTTTCAAAGGAACCATAAGATAATGCAAAGAAAATATTTGCAAATCACATGCCTGATCATGCCCTTATAACCAGAATAAAAAACCCTCAAAACTCGATATGAAAACAAACAACCCAGTTTCTTTTTTAATGGGCCAGAAATTCAAACATGCTATTCACTATTCTATTCGTGTGCTTATCCTTAGCACACGAAAAGATATTCAATATCATTAATCATCAAGGAAACACAGAACCTCAATGAGATACTGCTACACACCAATTAGAATGGCTAAAATTAAAAAGGCTGACTATACCAAGTGTTGGTGAGGACACAGAACTGCAACTCTCATACACTGCTGCTGGGAATGTAAAATGATACAACCACTTTGCAAAACAGTGTGGCAGTTTCCTAATAGATTATAAAAGTTCACCTACCATATGACCCAGGCATTCCATTCCTAAGTGTTACTCAAGGAAAATGAAAACATGTGAACTTTCAAAGACTTGTGTGCCATATCCACTGCAGCTTTATTTGTAAGAGCCAAAAGGTAAATAACCCAAATGTCCAACAGTGAATTGCTAAAGAAATTGTAGTCTGCCTGTACAATAATGCAATACTATAAAATAAATTTACTGAGCCATAAAAGGAAGAAACCACTGATATATGCAAACCATGGCTGAACCCCAAAACAGTTAACCTGAGTATATACGGTATGGTTTCATTTACATAAAATTCTAGAAAATGCAAACTAATTTATAGTGACCTGCAGCACATCCCTAGTTGCCTGGCTAGGGGGTTTCTGGAGGAAGGGGTTAGTTACCAAAGGGCACAAGAAAACTTGCAGGTGTGATGATATGTTCATAATCTTGATCATGGTGATGGTTTCACGAGGGAACGGGGAAACATATTAAGATTTATCACATTGTGCACTTTGAATATGTGCAATTATAACATGTCAATTATATCCAAATAAAATATTTTTATAAAGAAAAACAGGTATTCTGGCGCCCAGGGCCACCCAGCTGTAAGCGGCGGGGTGGGATTCCAACCCAGAAGCGGGCGTCTGGAGCCCTCATGCTTCACCCTAGCCCCATGAAACGAGCACGCAGGATGGCTCTGAGCAGCGAGGAAAGTGCTGGAAGGAAGCAAGCACAGCGCGTCCCTGGCTGGGGACGTTAATCATTACCCGGGGGCGGCCCCAGCGCGGCCCCGCCCCGGGACTGCCGCCTGCGCGCCTGGCCGCCGCCTGCCCTCTCCGCCAGCCACCTGCTGCCGCCCGCGCCATGGTGAGCCCAAGGGTGCGTCGCCGGGATCCAGGCAGCTGGGCCGGGGCAGCCGCGGGCGAGGTGGGGGCGGGGGGCGGCAGGGGAGGCTCCCTTCGAGCCCCCTGCGGAGCCGCCGGGGTCGGAGAGTGGGGTCTCTGCCCGGCTCCCTGTCGCTGGCGGCGCCGGGAGGAGGCTGAGGCCCTGAGAGGGGCGGTAGCGGGTCCGGGTCCCAGCCAGGCGGGAGGCCAGGCCTGCCCTGACCCAGGCCAGGCTCGGTCCGGGACCCTGCCGGGGGCGGGGGAAGACCGTGATGAGGCAGTCCGCAGATCTCTTCCCCTTAGTGGCCCGATTCTGCTTTGTACTGGGGTGGGAGCGGGAGGGAGGCTGAGTTTGCGCGCTCCTGTGCGTGCCTGTCCGCCGCCCCTTCCGGCTAGCACCCCGGGTACAGGGTCTGCCTGGGACTCAGGCTCTGCGCCCCTGTGCTGTCCCGGGCCCCAGAGCCAGCCCCTAAGCCGGTTTGAGGCCCATGCCCGGCCACGGGGATTCGGGGCGCAGGGTCAGCCCTCCTCCCGGGTGAGCTTCTCTTGCAACCCCGGGGCGGGGGCGGGCCCTTGCTCTGCTGTAGGCTCCGGAGCGTCACCAGGCCATTTCAGGTCCAGGGGCCTTCAGAGCAGTACGGACCGGGAGGGCCTTTTGATAGGAGAGGGACTTGCGGCAGAGAGGATGAGTGGGGCTGTTTGTGAGGGGCGCTGAGGCCCCAGAGATGCAGGCTTGGGAAATCAGTAACCATCCCGCACACCTCACCAGAGGAGGCAAGGAGGATTTACTAAGCAAACAGGATCCCCTTCCCCATCTCTGTCTCCAGAGCCGGCAGCTGGAAGGTTTGTCAGTTCAGCCCCCGGCTGTGCAACTTGGGGGTTCCCGAAGAGTCTACCGAGAAAGGGAAGCCTCCCAAGAACTCACCTGGATCCACCCACCCCTTTAAGAGCCAAGGAAGTAAACAGTGGGCTCTGATGCCTCCTCGGCTGACTTCTGGTTGCCTGGATACACGGACCAGAGGGTCAGCCACTGGGAGAGGGCTGGCTCTGGAGTAGAGACCTTCCTATTGGGCAGATGAGGCAAATCGCTGCTGCCATTCCACCCCTGTAGCCATCCAGAGCGGAGGGGAGCAGCGGCCAAGCCTCATCAGTCCAGAGAGATCTCACGTTTTCAGGAGGGAAAAAAGACGGATTTGGAAAAGCGCTGCGATGCTTCAACTACCCCAAATGCTACCAGGGCCATCACAAGCCTACTTGCCTTAGGAAGTATTTTTTTTAATGCAGATGACATTTGCTTTATAACAGTGGCGTTTCCTAAAGTGCCCCATTGGCACCTCATGATGATCTGTGGAGGTGGAGGTTCTGCCAAGAGAGGGACAGCCACCTGGCTGGTAAATGGTGAAACCGGCGCTGAAACCTGCCAATCAACACACCGTGTTCAGTCTGTAGGCGGCCTCATAAAAGCTGAATTATTCTCCCTCACATTTCCCCCATCCCTAAATTATTCCTTCTGAATTCAGCACTCTATTTGTGCCCTGGGGTGGAGCTACTCTAGAAGCCTAGGTTCTGGGATCTGTTAAGCTCCTAGAACTGGATCCTCCTAGGATGAAACTGACCCTTGCTTCCTTGCATTCTCTGAGGTTCCACTCATGGCCTGAATTGTGCCAATTTGGACTGCCTTGAGGGTGCTTTGCACAATAGGTAAATAGGATGGGACACTGGGTTTGCCAGCTGCCTTTGGCCAAGTTCCTTCCACTCTGGGGACTGAGCTCTGTGGCCTGAGCTTACCAACCAACCAGAAAAGAAGACGGAAACCCTGAGAAACCGAGCCCAGGTGGCTCAGGGCCAGAGGCTGCATGGGAGCATGATTGAGGACCTGCTAGAGGTAGTGTCAGTGGCGGTCATCTGCAGTGTAGCTGAGAATGGGCTGGACGCTTATTTTAAATGCTGGCTCCTTTGCCCAGCCCCAGGGATGCTGACACACAGACCACACTTTGAAAATGCTGCCTGTGCCATCACTACTTAGGGGTGGGCGGGAAAGAACAGTAGACAAGTTATTTCCCCTCTCTAGGCCTGTTTCCTCTTCAATACACATGAAAGTTATGGCAGGGACGTGGGGCGCATATGATGAAGTACATAATAGGAAAAGGAGCAGGGGACAGTCATGGGTACTCTTTTCCTGAGAGGTTGTGGAGTAACATATTTGCATCTGGAATTTATTTTGCTTTCACGCCCTCATGGATATAATAGATCTCATGGAGGGAGGGTCTGTAAGGCTTTGAGGGCAGGGTTGGAGAAGAGTGCCTCTCTGTCCAGGTCATATGCATTACATTGCCTTTGGGATTTCCCTTCTCTGTGATGTGTGGAAAACCCAAGATGTGAGAGCCTATCGGTGGACAAGCCCAGACCTCGCCTCCTAGGCAGGGTGCCACCCTTGAGGCCCCCCGGCCTATTGCTCAAAGACCTGCTGCCCTTTGGTCACCCACATCCAAAGCAGCCAGTGGAGGCTGGCTAAGTTCCCCTAAAGGTTGGAGCCCCTCTGTTTTGACCTTTAAAAAGAAATGCCCTTGGGCCTCTGTTTTTTTCCCCCTCTTCTAGGCTGGCAAAGCACACAGGCTGAGCGCCGAGGAGAGGGACCAGCTGCTGCCAAACCTGAGGGCTGTGGGGTGGAATGAGCTGGAAGGCCGCGATGCCATCTTCAAGCAGTTTCATTTCAAAGACTTCAACAGGGTATGGCACCAGGGCAGGACAGAGTTTTCTGAGACTGGGGCTGACGGGGTCACCTTCCAGAGCATGTTCTCTCCCTGCATGTCCTGTTAGCCAAGACTCTCCGACACCACACGCATCCAGTTATTTGGGAGCTGTGCCGGTGGGGAAATTAATTTTCCTGCCTAATTCGGAAAGTGTCATCTTTGGGGACTGGAGAGTAGGAGGATGTGATGTCTTGGGCTCTCCTTTCCTGGAACTTTTAGCAACAGTCCTCTGAGGAGATAGTTCAAGTAGGAACCATGTACATCTGAAGACATTTGAACAGACAGCCAAGACTGGCCAGACCAAAAGCCTGCTGTGGTGTTTCCACCTTGTTGGTGTCCTAAGACTTTCTTCCTACTGCAGGGAAAACCTTGAACTCAAGCCTGAGAACCAGTGACAGGATGTCAAGGAGGAAATGATTAAAGAGAGGGGAGTCTCCTGGGAGGAAGCTAATTCATCCTTCTGCGTCTAGGCCTTGACTTGGTGATGTCCAGAAGTCCTTTCTCTTAGAAACTAACCTAGCTCTCACTTCACTTAAATAGGCTTTTGGGTTCATGACAAGAGTGGCCCTGCAGGCTGAGAAACTGGACCACCATCCTGAATGGTTTAACGTGTACAACAAGGTGAGTGATGCTATGTGCCTCTGTTGTGCTCTGCCCCCATACAAATCCTGTGAACTCTGACACATTCTGAAGGCTTTGGGACTTAACACTGTGCCTTCCTGACCCACAGGTCATCCACCCATCTCGTTCCCAAGCTCACTGAGATTGCATATGCCTAAAATCAACATAAATACACCTGGAAAAAAAATCATCAGTCTTACTATAAAGAAATGCAAATTAAAAGGTCCATGCGATACTTGGGGTTAAAGTAGACATTAAGAAGGCAAAACCAGCCAGGCGCGGTGGCCCACGCCTATAATCCCAGCACTTTGGGAGGCTGAGGCGGGTGGATCACGAGGTCAAGAGATCAAGACCATCTTGGTCAACATGGTGAAACCCCGTCTCTACTAAAAATACAAAAATTAATTGGGCATGGTGGCGCGTGCCTGTAGTCCCAGCTACTTGGGAGGCTGAGGCAGGAGAATTGCTTGAACCCAGGAGGGGGAGGTTGCGGTGAGCCAAGATCGCGCCATTGCACTCCAGTCTGGGTGACAAGAGTGAAACTCCGTCTCAAAAAAAAAGAAGACAAAACCCAAGAAAGGAAAGGCTGTGGGAGTCAGGCATACTTATTCAGGGTTCATAGCTCTAAACGGCTTTAATCTTACTGGAGGTATGGAAGAATGAAAACTTAATAAACTTGAACTAAGAATGCATACACATAGCCAGTCTATCAAATTGCTTAATGATGAAAACAGTCATGAAATGTCTACCACGTGCCAAAAGCTCTGCTGGTTTCTGTTTATAAAAGCAGTAAGGGTGAAAGAGGCCATCTGTGAATGGATAGTGTTTAGGAGTTGGCATTGGTTTTTGGTTTTGTCTTTAGCTTTTAGTTTGCTCTTGACATTTGGATGTTTTTACTCTATAGCTGAAGTCACAATTATTTTTGAAAGACAGCATAAGGGGAGATGCAGAAGATGTTGTGACAGACGGTCAGGAAGGAGTCCCCAGGAGAGATCGTAGTGGCCAGCTGCTATTCTGGAACTCCTAGTGGGGTTGAGCCCAGCTGCTGTTGACTCCCTCCTGTTCTTAAGTCCGTGGAAGCAGAATTTCTGGTTTCGTTTCAGGTCCACATCACACTGAGCACCCACGAGTGTGCCGGCCTTTCAGAACGGGACATAAACCTGGCCAGCTTCATTGAACAAGTAGCAGTGTCCATGACGTAGACCCCGCTCTTCCTCTTTGAATTCCTCTGGGGGAAGGGGTGACTGAACTGGGAATCCAGGGAGGGAGCTGAGGAGCCCTTGGCCTCTCCCGACTTCCCTCCCAAGACCCAGTTGCCTCCACTGAGGGGCGAGTCCTGGCTGTGGGATGTGCCAGCATCCCTACCAACATCAGGAATTTAGACCTTTTCCCTGTACCACTCTCTTTATCCTGGGGGCTCTGTTACACTGATTTGAATAAGCTCTCCCCTTTCTTTGCAACTTCCCAGCAACAATAATGATTTTCTTGCCAGGCTGTATCTTGCTCCCTAATTCATTTCCCAGGAAGCTGTGACAGAGGGTGAAATAGTCTTGTCTTAGAAACCAATACCCTAAACCTACACTATGTAACAGAAACACATGTGCTTTTATGTCTCAAATAAAACTATGATATCACTTGGTCTCGGGCGCTAGAAACTTCTTTTCCACAGGTCAATCCAAATTGGAGTCAATAGGCATTTAAATGAAAGCACTTCCTCTATGCTAGGCACTGTTGAAGGTACCGGGAAAAGAGAGGGACCAGACCACCTTGCCTTCAGGTTCATTATCATCTAGGGTATATCATGTGATTATCATCAAACAGGAACACAATTAACTATTAACTAGTACTAATTAACTGTTACTAAGGTGAATTAATGCTAGATAGCAGGATAAAAATGAGCTAAGGGGGACGCAAGTGATTAATCGTGACAAGGGCAAATCTGGAGGCTTTGAGCTATGCCTTGAAGACCTGGGTAGGATTCTTGAGAGGCAGAGAGAGCCGAAAGAACACCATGAACACAGATAAGGATGTGAAGGTCACAGGTATTATATTCATTGTAGAACCTATGTCTAGAAAGGCAGTTTGGGGCCATATTACAGGTTGAACATTCCTAATTTGAAAATTCGAAATCCAAAACCTGAAACTTTTTGAGTACCAACATGATGCTCAAAGGAAATGCTCATTGGATCATTTTAGATTTCTGATTTTCAGATTACAGATGCTCGTCAGGATAATGCAAATATTCCAAAATCCTCTATCTGAAACACATCTGGTGATCCTACACCTTTCAGATAAGGAATACTCAACCTATATCTTCTTCCTGGCTGTGATGGCTAATTTTATGTGTCAACTTGATTGGGCCATGGGGTGCCCAGGCATTTGGTCATTCTGGGTGTGTCTGTGAGGGAGTTTCTGAATGAGGTTAACATTTGAATCAGTAGACTGAGAAAAGCCGACTGCCTTCCCTAACTAGGTGGGTGGCCTCATTCAACAAGCTGAAGACCTGTATAGAACAAAAGGGCTAAAAAGGGCAGATCCTCCTCCAAATAAGAGGGAAGTGCTCCTGCCTGACTGCCCTGAGGTGGCACATTTGTCTTTTCCTGCTTTGGGACTTAAACTGAAACATCCACTCCCCTTGGGTCTCAAGGCTATAAGCCTCCAGACTGGAATAATACCATCTGGCCTTCCTGGGTCTCCAGCTTGCCAACCGCAGATCTTGGGACTTGACAGCCTCCAGAATCACATGAGCCAATTCCTTCTAAGAAGTCTCTCTGTGTATATTCGTTCTGTTTCTCTGGAAAATCCTAATACACAGGCCTATCATATCAGATACGGGAGATTTCAAATCCTGATGGTCTCCTCAGTTTCTTAAAATCTTAGCAAAGTTCTTAGGGCTTGCCTGGTTTTACTCTACTGGAGAGGAGACACAGGCAGCTAAGGAGCTGGCAGGCTATTTACCACTGGAGCAGTTAAGAGAGATGGTTTGCATAGTTTCCCCAGCCTGCAACTCTCTAGGGCAGAATGTCCCAACTGTGTCATGAAGGGGACACTGAGAGCAGCCTCATCTCTACCCCTGTGTGCATGCCACACAGATTTCACCTCACATATGCCATGATGCAGAGACTGGGAAGCCTTCTTCCTACTAGTTCTCACCCGTGTCTCCTAACCCAAGTACTAAGCTGACTTGCAAATGCTAGGGTCACTTGGAGCAGGAATCTAGCAATGTCACAACTCAGTCAGCCTAGATGAGTTGGTCCCCCAGCAAAGGCCAGAGGATAGAAGTTGGGAAATAAGCACATTGTTCATAAGAGTAATTAGCAGGACTCCCTTCCTATCATATATGCTAGTAAGAAATTATCAACACCTATGTTGATGGCAAACAAGATTCAGACAGTGGTCTCCCATCTGCTCCACTTCGGACTTAAATTTTTCCAAGTGTGTTTTGATCTGATGACTTGAGGACTAGAGGATAGAAGACACCAGACACGGAGGTATGGATGATGCTGTTATGTTACATTCCTGCCTCTGCTTATTATCATGGGTCAAGGGTTGAAAAATATTGACATACAGGTACGGGGACAGTTCACACCTGTATTTCCAACACTTTGGGAGGCCAAGGTGGGAGGATCATTTGAGCCCAGGAGTTAGAGACTAGGCTGGGCAACATAGACAAACTCTCTACAAAATATACAGAAAAATTAGCCAGGCACAGTGGCACACACCTGCGGTCCCAGCTACTCAGGAGGCTGAGGTGGGAGGATTACTTGAGCCTAGGAGGTCAAGGCTGCAGTGAGTCATGATCATGCCATTGCCCTCTAGTCTGGGGAACAGTGAAACCTTGTCTCCAAAAGATAAAGCCAACCTTGGCAGTATTACAGTTGTATGAAGCACATTTACGTGAGACAAAGACACAGAAAATACTTTTTTTTTTTTTTTTTTTTAGAAATAAGTTTATTCTAAAATTAATCCAAATAATTGAAATTATAGGGAAGGATATTGAGAGAAGAAATTACGAGACAGAGGAAAGCATAAAAGAAGGTAATAAAAACTTCAAGTCAAGAAAAGGTTCTCAAAAATCTGACTTTGCCTACCCTGGGTATAGTTTGTGGCTATCAAATTAGGACTCAGTAACTACTTGTCACTGGCTGAAAGCTGTTCATGGCTGCCCAGAACCTACAGAGAAGGCCAAGGGGCGGGCCTGCAGCTGTACGGAGCAGCAATAAGCATCCCAGACGTGACTTCCTAGATGAACCAGGCGCCCTAACCCAGGCATATACTGGATCCTCTTTCTCTCTGGCTTCCAGGTACTCAGGAACTAGGCTATCTGGCAGAAAACTGTAGCAACAAAAAGCAGTCCTTGGCTTGATTCTGGCAAAGTCTGAATGGGCCAAAAGCCAAAAGGAAAAGGTGAATTATCTGAATGACAGTCTTCAGATCCTAACTAACCCTTTGGGAAAACTTCTCATTTCTTATTCATAATAGAATAAGATGTCCAGAAGTTACATGTGTGAGAAGATTATCTGAGGAGCTCTGTCAGCCCCTAAACCAAATGTAGGGCTTGAGGCCAATGCCCTTTGGTTAGAAAAAACCATACTGCCCAGCTGGCTAGAGACCACCCAGACGGCTCAATCCCTTGTTGTTGTAAGCAGCAAAGTGTGGGCAGAAGTGGAGGATGAAGAGGGAAGAAAACATAAGACAGGGTCTGTCCCTGGCAAACTAAGAACCTGAATTTCAGACCTCTCTGTAATAGATATGACCACTACTCCTAGTGCAGGGACCAATCAGCAACCTATTAACATACCTGGAAATGAGATAGATTGCCGCTTAACTGTGTCGGGAAAGCAGATGGATTGCTTCACCACCAGGGGGCAATCTCTCACCAGGAGCCCATTCAGGCATGGCCACCGCCCCATTTGTGATCTTGTCTGTGCCCGAGTAATCAAATGAATGCAACCATTCACAGTACTTACAGTTAGGGTCATTTAACTATTTAATTGCTTTTTGAGATTATTGCTGCAATTAGGAAGGGAGGGTTGAGATGAGAAGGGGGAGGTTGGAGAAGATAAGAGATTTAAAATAAGCAAGTACCATTTTCCAAGTATAAAACTCGTAATATTAAAAGTGACACAGCAGTGTTTCACATGACTACTTAAGTCTAATGCAGAAATAAGACAGTACAGCTTTTGCAGAGGCCGATGTGACATCTGCATGCGACATGATACTATTAAGACTCTCTACCCACCTCTGCCATAGACTAGTTGCTATATGCACACATACACAAAAATACAAAATGAAAAGCCTACACAAGTGTTAAGTCAAACTAAGGCTCTTAATTGTAAATTAAAGTGGCTACAGTAGGTCCCTTTGAAAAACACCATCTCCCCTGGCACCAATGTTGTCACAGCACAGAGGAAGCGAGTGGCTCAGGGGTCTGGTTCTGGGGAGACACTCCGTAGGGGACATGCTTCTCCATCTTGGCAGCTGGCAAGCCACAGTGGTGTCTGTCTGCTGGGTGGTTCTGGCTTCCTGGACCTCCTCCAACATAATGCACTGACCACACAGCTTTGACTACAACTACTCTCAAAGAGGTACCTGCCAGGTCTCCCTCTGACACACGCACACACACAAACATTGCCCACTCTTGGAACCCACAATGCAATGTGGAGCAAACAGGAAGAACACACACACACATAAATGCCACACCAGACCTAAATGGCGTGGCCACCTAGTCACAGTTGTTGGGTAAGTAGTACAGTGCTCAAGAACACTTTAGACTAATGTGCTAAGGAGCTTGAGGAAAAGTCTGGTAGTCATGGCTCTCCCAGCCAGCATTCCCAGTGGGGAAAACTAGAAGATACCAGCCTGGAGAGGCTGAATATTCAGGAGTCCCTGAGATGGGGAATGGAACAGAGGAAAGTGTCTCCTGACCTGTCCTAAGTACTCCCCTACCCAAATAGAAACCTCAAAGACTGATCCAAATTTCCCCTAAGGCCTGGGCCAGGAGTGCTCACTGCTCACTGCTGAGGAGGAAGGCACATGGTATGATGTCATTAGAGCAGGACAGTGGCTCAGCCTAGGGGAGAGTTCTCTACAGGGGAAAGAGGGCAGGAGGTGGCGCAGGGTCTGGTCCTGTCCCTGCACCACCCTGAGCAGCTCGTCTTGGGATTATAGGCCCTGGGCCATAAGGCTGCTCGCCATTCTGCTTTCCTGTTTCTCTCCCTGTGCTGCCACGGCTGAGAAATGTCCAGCACCTGAGGCAAAACTGCCATAGTACCTTAGAAAGCTGAATCAAGGGGGAAGAGGCAGAAGAACACACTAATAGAGAAAATTTTCCTTGCAATAGGTGCTCTTTCACACCCACCTAGGGTAAGTCAAGGCAACTTGTGAAGGTGCTTTGAGCTGTTCCTTCAAGCAAACATATTTTCATTACATGATGGCTTATCGCAAGGGTGCAGGGAAGGACCACCACCAACTCTGGTGACAAATTTGAATCTGGATGCTCATCCTATTCAGATAGTCAGGAAATCTGACTATCTGAATGACAGCCTTCAGATCCTAACTAATATGAATGGTTTTGGAGGACCATTCAGAAAAGCCTAGAAAAAGGCCTGGTTTCTGCTCACCACCAGTCCAGGATAG